CTTTTTGATGACATCATTTTGCTTTCAGAGGGTCAGATAGTGTACCAAGGTCCACGTGAAAATGTGCTTGAATTCTTTGAAAGTGTAGGCTTCAAATGTCCTGGAAGGAAAGGAGTTGCAGATTTCTTGCAAGAGGTGACTTCCAAGAAAGATCAACAACAATACTGGAGTAGCAATGATGAACCTTACAGACACATCTCTGTATCGGAGTTTGTGCATTGTTTCAAATCTTTCCATGTTGGTCAAAGGCTTTATGAAGATCTTACAGCTCCATATGATAGATTGAAGACTCACCCTGCTGCATTAGTTAAAGAAAAATATGGAATTTCTAATTGGGAACTCTTTAACTCATGCTTTGCAAGAGAGTGGCTATTGATGAAGCACAACAGTTTTCTGTACATATTCAATATATGCCAGATTACCATGATGTCACTGATTACCTTGACAGTGTTTCTGAGAACAGAAATGAAAACAGGTCATATTGAAGATGGAGCAAAATTTTATGGTGCACTGTTTTTCAGTCTTACCTGTATCATGTTCAATGGGATGGCTGAGCTTGCAATGACTATAGTCAGGCTTCCTGTATTTTACAGGCAGAGGGATTTCTTGTTCTATCCAGCATGGGCCTATGCTTTGCCAATTTGGATTCTCAAGATTCCTCTCTCCTTCGTTGAATCAGCAATATGGATTATCCTCACATATTACACTGTAGGGTTTGCGCCTGCTGCTAGTAGGTATATATGCTTATACATGCCCTACCTTCCTGAAAGTTAGTTATGATTATACAGTATGTTATTTTATTTACTCACTTGTTCAAAATGCTTCAGGTTCTTTTGTCAACTATTGGCATTTTTTGCCATACATCACATGGCTTTGTCTCTTTTCCGTTTCATTGCTGCACTTGGGAGAACAGAACTTGTTGCAAACACACTTGGTACAATGACAATACTGCTGGTTTTTGTCCTTGGTGGATTCGTTGTCGCCAAAGGTTATATTTCTTATAGGATAACTATTCCTTGGTGGATTGATTTGTTTATAACAATTACAACTATTTACAGAATTCAATATAGTGGCTATAGATGCTTAAATCTGCTTACAGATATTCAACATAAAAAGAAATATAAGAATTCCATCTTCTCTTTCTCTTTTGCAGATGATATTGCACCATGGATGATCTGGGGTTATTATGCTTCCCCAATGTCTTATGGACAAAATGCTCTCGCCATCAATGAATTTCTGGATGAAAGATGGAGTGCAGTAAGACCTAAGATTCTCCAGAAACACAATTTAATACATATTCTATACCATATTTTGTAATTATTATAATGACTGCGTTTTATTTCTTTGATGTAGCCTAATCCTACTCCTGACGTTGCTGAACCCACAGTTGGAAAGGCTCTTCTTAGATTAAGGGGCATGTACACAGAGGAGTATTGGTATTGGATTTGTGTTGGGGCACTCCTGGGCTTTTCCCTGCTTTTTAATCTCTGCTTTATAGCAGCATTAACATATTTGAATCGTAAGCTCTTATTTCTCACGTAGATTTTCATTTCAATTTTAAAGTAAAAATTGATTTTTGACGTGGAAAAATAATGCAGCACTACGGGATTCCAAGTCTATTGCACTGGATAAGGATACTGATAAGAAGCAACCATCTTCACAAAGGCATCAGCAAGGACAGACCACAGAAGCAGGTTCAGGATTTATAGGTAAGCTATTTAAAGGTTTTTCATGTCCCTAGTTGATCTTACAAAGGAAATAAGTGAACTAAGGTAATGTAACTTAAATATATGAAGTTGTTGTGTGTATGTTGGATACAATGACTTGCAGGGCAATCTTCTGGTCCTCTAGGATCTTGTTAGGAATAGGGTTAGTCTGAAAACTTTAATTAAGTGCACTGACTACTTCATAAATTTCCTACCTTGGTCACCCATGTTTTGTAACTAAGGCTCATTGAAGAGAACTCTTCAATATCATAGAGTTACATACTATAAAATGAGGAGATATTGTTCAGAAACTGTATTGATTTCAATGGAGTATATATACATTAGGAATAATCATGAGAACTAGCCTTCTCAGGAACTAAAATTTGATAACCTTCATACTCTAATAATTCTAGCCAAGAATAAACATGCATAATCTGATAATTCTAGGCCAAAGATAAACCTAGGTGCATAACACTATTAGTCAATGTGCCAACCATATCTTCTTCGACTAGTGAGTTTCACAGTTGTATACTTGCACTATGAATCAATCATTTCTACTCTTTGTAATATTACTAATAAAATTACTTTTCTTCTTCAAAAGTTGCCTTTTGGTAAGTACCAAAGTAGGATATTTTCTAGTAACGTGGCAACCAGCTGGTGAAAGGCAACGGCAATGGATAAGCAGTTCGCTATTTTATGCATGGTAACATTGGTTTACTACAGCTTGTGCGACTAAAATAATTTCCCTTTGGTGGGTAGTATAGGCTGGAAAATCTCATTATTGCAGAATTTCCTGAGGTAAGAGACATGGAAAACAAGTGGCTGTGTGATTCCTCAAGGAAAGCAGACTTGTAAGCCTTAAGTAGAATAATACTGCAAGGAGCAGAATCTGGTGTTACACAATATTTTGTCCATGAAAGCCACTCCACCCAATGATGAGCACATCATTATTGAAGTATCTTAGGTACATCTTACTAGTGCAATAGAGTACCTCAATTATGCCATTGAACTGAGGGTGATACACGAAACTAAAAGAGAGCTTAGTACCACTCAGGCAAAAGAGATCCATCCAGGTAAAAAAAAAACTTGATGATTATGGCATCCCTATGACTTACAATGGACTCAGCTAACCCATTTAATTTAAAAATTGAGTTAAATGAATTACTAACCATAACTTATATTCTTCAGTCTGAGGGTGCCACCCACATCTACCTCCAAATTGATCATTTCCAGCCTCTATTATTGTTGTAGATACTTTTTGTTAATTTTGCAGGTGTATATGTGAATGATTACAGCTCTTTCTATGGCAGGGAGGAACATTTCTAATAGGTCAAGTTCAAGTGTTATGGAGCCAGTAGCTGTGAATAAAGGAATGGTGTTGCCTTTTCAACCCTTATCAATGGCATTTGATAATGTGAATTACTACGTTGATATGCCTGTTGTAAGTCCTCATTTAAATATTTTTTCTTTTATGCCTTGTAAATTAAAGCATTTGCAAACTATAAATACTTTTGACAAAGAAGGAAATAATTCAGATAATTTGAAAGATTTTGAACTTCACTCTTGTATTTAATTTTTGAATGGGGTTTGTCCAATTCAGGAAATGAAGAATCAAGGAGTTGAAGAGAATCGCCTTCAACTGTTACGAAACGTTAGTGGTGCATTTAGGCCAGGTGTTTTAACAGCATTAGTTGGTGTAAGTGGTGCTGGAAAGACTACTTTGATGGATGTTCTTGCAGGAAGAAAAACTGGAGGATACATTGAAGGGGAGATCAGTATTTCTGGCTACCCAAAGAATCAAAAAACTTTTGCTAGAATTAGTGGTTATTGCGAACAGAATGATATTCATTCTCCACATGTAACAGCTTATGAATCTCTTGTTTATTCTGCTTGGTTACGTCTTGCAAAAGATATTACAGCAGAAGCACGGAAGGCACGTTGTTTAACACTTGAATTTATAATCAATGTACAACGTTTTATCATAAACTTTATAATTAATGTTTAGATAATTTTTATCACAGATGTTCGTGGAGCAAGTAATGGAGTTAGTCGAGTTAAACCCATTAAGAAATTGTCTAGTCGGTCTTCCAGGAGTTGATGGCTTGTCAACTGAGCAACGAAAAAGACTTACAATAGCTGTAGAATTAGTGGCAAATCCATCTATTATCTTCATGGATGAGCCAACCTCTGGCCTTGATGCTAGGGCTGCTGCAATTGTTATGCGTACTGTGAGAAGTACGGTGGATACTGGGCGAACAGTTGTTTGCACAATTCACCAACCAAGCATAGATATTTTTGAAGCCTTCGATGAGGTAGGTATATGTTCAAAGCTTTCAAAATATTTAGTTGTTGACTTGCCTTGGTTCCTTTTCTAATTTGATTTTCCTTATTCGTATAGTTGTTGTTGATGAAGAGGGGAGGAGAAGTCATTTATGCTGGCCCCCTTGGTCGCCATTCTCACAAGCTTATAGAATATTTTGAAGTCTGTATCAATTGTCAAATATATCTCAAGTCATTCTAGGAGTTCCTTAACAAGTTCATTTTATTTAGTTAGTATTTATAATGGAAGGATTTACGTATATATTGCAGGCTGTTCCTGGAGTTCCAAATATCAAAGATGGCTACAATCCTGCAACTTGGATGTTGGAAATCAGTTCAAGTGCTGCCGAGACTCAAATTAATGTCGATTTTGCTGAAATTTACTCAAAATCTGAACTTTATCAGTAAGTAAAAATTTGTAATTCATATATTAATGCTCCATTTCTAGACCTAGTATTTAGATTTCTTTTCATATTGTTTCTTTCGCCAGGAAGAATCAAGAGATTATTAAAGAGATAAGCAGTCCAATACCAGGATCTAAGGACCTTCATTTCCCAGCCAAATACTCTCAAGACTTTTTCACTCAGTGTAAAGCTTGCTTTTGGAAACAACACTGGTCCTACTGGAGAAACCCACAATACAATGTCATTAGATTGTGTCTTACAATTTCTACTGGCATTATATTTGGACTTATTTTTTGGAACAAAGGAGGAAAGAGGTAAGTGAAAAACTATCTTGTGTTACATTTATATTATTGCTAAGAATAGTATTGACGTGTTTTTTATTAAATACTATAACTCTATATATACATATCTTGTAGAACGGAAAAGATCATAAATAAGTAATTATAATTAATTATATAGAGTGTAATTTACTCTTATATCATTTAATTTAATTTAATTCTTTAACACTTCTCTTCAAGCTGGGGAATATATGTTGTCAATTCCCAGCTTGTCAATAAGAGTTAAGAATATTAGACTGGTTAAGTTTTTAATTAATACATCTATTAGTTGAGAATTGATAGACATGTATGATGTACATACTAGGACATGGTCAAGTTTGTTTTTGATAAAACGTTTATCGATCTCAATATGTTTGGTTACGTTATATTGCACCGGATTGCATGTAAGATTTATGGCTGACTTATTACACAGTAGAGACACATGAGGTTTTCTTACTTGACTCTAAGATCTTTTAAAATTTTTATTATCCATAATTAGTTCACATACTTTTTGTGTCATTGCTCATTATTTTGATTCAGCACTTAACCTTACAATTATATTTTACTTCTTACTTCTTTAGGTGACTAAGTTGCCTCTAAGGAAGATACAATATCTTATAATATACCTGCTGTCTACTACTAACCCTACATAATGTATATTAATATAGACTTGTAGGAGCGATTTATTACTCTTTTTGGACATAATTCTTTTTTTAAGTAACTTTTTTAGATAATGCAATATTCTGTAAGCTGTTTGTAAGTGCACTTTTTTCTGATTGTGCATGAATTTACTTATAACACTCACTGTACAGGCAATTATGATCTTGTATGGAATATGCATATCAATCTCTAAACTAATATTTGATATATTTTCTTAGTTTCTAACGTATCTTCTTTTGCTATTCCTTATGATTAGATGAGAATCTAATTGGTTTGCATGCTAACTTGCTTGAGTTTCAATAGGTTATGAATGTATTTTTACTAAAAAATAAAAAATTTAGAATTTTAAACAGACGACTTCAATTGCTAAAAAATATTTCAACTTACCAAATTTTTTGATCTGAAGTTCTTTTATTAGATACTATTTTAGTATCAGTTTTTCTTTTTCATCATTATAATAATGTCATCAACATATATTAGGAGACACACCCCTACTTCTGAGTGTTTGATGAATAGAGTATGATATCCTTAAGTCTGCTTGAATCCCATATCTATTATCACTCTTAGAACCTACCAAACCATATTTTTGGCAATTGCTTGAGTTCATCAGAGTCTTTTTTAATTTACATACCTTATTTGACCTTGTTTTTCTATCAAAGTTTGGTGGAATATCCATATAAATTTTTTTTTCTCTATGCAAGAAGACATTTTTAATATCAAATTGTCATAGTTGCCAATCAAAATGAGCAGCTAATGACAACAAGATTCTCATCTTGGCTCTTGGTGCGAACTCCTGCTAGTCTATCTATATATCTCTATACAGCTATTTGTTACCAATCTCGCTTTATATCTCTTGATTGTCCCATTTGCTTTATACTTTACTGTAAAAAATTATTTACATCCCACTACTTTCTTTCTTTTGGGTAGATCCATCATTTCTCATGTATGATTTGTTTGAAGTGTCTATATTTCTATATTCATATTATTTTTTCATTTTTTACAAAATAATATCTCAAATATTGTATTAAGAATACACTTAGTATCCAAACTTATGAAAAAATTTTATTAGGATGGTGAATACTTATCAAATGATAAAAACTATGAGATAAGATAAATAGAATATTTACATTCTTTTATATCTTTACAAAGTGCAATAAGTATATTATTATCAAATTGCATAAATTTTTTGGAATTTATTTTAGTTTTAGGATAAAGATCGGATTATTGGACCGATTTATGCTCAATATTTGATATCTTTCTCATTGTATACACATGAAAAAATATGGTCTATTATGATCTCTTGAGTAGGTGAATGTTCCGTTAGGTTTTAAAGGTTCTCTTATGATGATGGTGTTGTGTGACAAAGGTGATAGGATAAAGTCCATTAAGAACTCCGTATCCTTATTTTTCAATATAAACTCCCTTGAAGATAAGATTGCGTGAAGTAGAATTATTGTTCAATGAATATACGTTCGTAAAAATATAAAATATTTGGATGGGTAGATAGTAAAAATTGTATGCATTTTGAGAGGAAGAATACCCTACAAATATATATTTTAAAACCCGATGATCTAATTTTTCTTTTTGATAGGAATAAATATGAACGAATGCAACACACCTAAATATCCGATGGAGTAGATGGTTTGTGATACTTACAGTTAGGTAAAATTTTTTGAAGTATTTGTATAGGACTTCTGAAATCCAGAGTGTTGGTGGGCAGATAGTTAATAATGTAGTTGGTAGTAAGGTCAGCTTCGTCTTAATATTTTTTGGTGCGTTGTTTTGGAATAGAAAAATTTTGGCGAAGGTTAAAAGGTGACTATTCTTACATTTCACTATTTCATCTTGTTGTGAAGTATGGATGTAAGATGATTCATAAAAAATTCATTCCTGATAGTGATAGAAGAATGATGAAAGCGAGTTACTATTAACTTAAAAATATAAAAATACACAGTTCACATGAAACCAAGAAGATTCAAAAGGTCAATACCCCTACTACTGTTGATTGACCCAATAATTTTTTTAGTCTAAAATATTTCTCATTTAACACTTAGTAATAACATATCTTTTAAACATAGAATAACTCAATAAATTTTTTTGGTGCAAATTCTCATCTTTCAAAGACCTTAACCAAGGTTGTTGATAATGTCTCGAGCTCTTACATTGAATTCATTAAGCACATATCTCTTTAATAAGCATTGGTTTGTCTCTTATAGTTTAAGTAATAAACAGTCTGAACTTATTTTCCACATAATTTTTTAATTGCATTTTAAATTTGATGTTCGTTTTATCAGAAAATTATCATGGTAAAGTTCATGATCATAGAAGTAACTAAAATATTTTGTATAAACAGAGAAAAGCAACAAGACTTGTTAAATTCTATGGGAGCTATGTATGCTGCTGTTTTTTTCCTTGGATCCACCAATGCATCTGCTGTACAACCTGTTGTAGTAATTGAAAGAACAGTATTCTATCGCGAACGAGCAGCTGGGATGTACTCAGCATTACCTTATGCATTCGCTCAGGTACTTAAAAAAAAGCTTAAACTTTCTTCATTTGAAAAATCCGAATCAATGTTAGGACGTACGCTAGCTTACAAATATAACTAATCTGATTATTTTGTGCCTTGCAGGTTGCCATAGAGACAATTTACATTTTCATTCAAGCTATTTTGTATGCTCTATTACTTTATGCTATGATTGGGTTCGATTGGGAGGTTAAGAATTTCTTTTGGTTTTTCTTCTTCATGTTCATGAGCTTTATGTACTTCACACTCTATGGCATGATGGTTGTTGCCCTTACTCCAAGTTATCAAATGGCTGCAATCGTAATGTCCTTCTTCATCAGCTTCTGGAATCTTTTCTCCGGCTTCCTTATTGCTAAGACGGTATATATCTACATATGTGTGATTCAGCATGCTACTTCTTTAACCCAAATGTATACTAATGGTTCAATACATGCTAATACAAGTATACCAATTTCATACAAAGATATATATTTATATATATACACATTGATTTCTAGCTTCTGATCATATTTACAGCGAATACCAATATGGTGGAGATGGTACTATTGGGGATCTCCAGTTGCTTGGACAATCTATGGCCTCATAACATCCCAACTAGGTGAGAAGCTTGATTATGTTGGTGTGCCTGGAGAGGGTTCTATTACAGTGAAGGCATACTTGAAGGATTACTTTGGATTTGAATATGACTTCCTTGGAGCTGTTGCTGCAGCCCATGTTGGATTTGTTGTCCTGTTTACTTTTGTTTTTGCCTATGGAATTAAGTATCTTAATTTCCAAAAAAGATGAGTTGTTTACAAACATTAATTGAATATATAAAAATAATTATTTACATAAAGAAATATTTACATCCCAAAATCTTTTATTGCTTTTTACATTACAGTATTGTAGTTCTTGTTGTATTTATTGTATATTTGTCCCACAAATTTGATTTATTTGTTACATCTCTAATTTTATTCTATATTTACTTTAGTTTTCTTATTGCAAGAAAAAAAATAGTCAAAAACTCAAAATATAAATCTACTTTTGATTAGTACATTAATAAAGTAATGTCTTAAACTTAAGCACTACTACTAAGTCAACAATTTTTAAGGTCAAAGCAATAGTCTCGACAGTTCAAATTTAAATCGTAATACTCGGGTCTGGAATTTGGTTTGGAATTAATTTTTACATTCGAAAATTGTATAAAAATCTAATTTTGAAATTAATAAGATTTAATTTAATATGAATTATGAAAAAAAATAGGTTAGAGATGAAATTGAAAATAATTTTGAAAAAAAAAGGTGAAAATTTAGGTTCGGAGAGTATTTTTGAAAGAAAAATCAGAAATTGGAGGTCAGAACACAATTTTGAAAAATTATTGGCAATCCGCATGCCATGTGATCGGACAGTCCGGAAGCGTTCCCGCATGCGTGGACGGTCCGGATCCATTTTTTCCCCATCGGATGGTTACGATTAAATGCGATGAACAGTTCAAATTCGTTTCATCTTTAAACGCGATCATACAGTTGAGATTAAATCACGATAAATGGTTCAGATTCATTTTCTCTTTAAACACGATCGGACGGTCGAGATCAAATGCGATGAACAACCCATATTGAACTCAAACCCTAGTCGCCAGCCTTCCGCTAGAGAAGAAGAACCAGTCGTCGGAGAAGGGAGGCGACTGCCACCCGCCGCCGCGATGGAGCCACCTCCGACCGTAAAAAAAGGCAAAAATTCTCTTATCCTCTCGGGATTTGATTCTGAACACTCCCAGGCTAAATGGAGCAAAAAGAACGACGGATAAGCTGAAAACCGCGGGCAAAGCCTAACAGCGCCACCGCGGGTAAAATCCAAAACCTTCTCCGATGAGCCCCTTCCCGATTCCCGTTTCATGCGATTTTTTCACCATTGTGATTACCGTTCTGTTTTCTACAGGTTGACCGAAGGAAAACGTCCAGCTGCGAAGGTGAGCCGGCGGAGCTGCCGCACTAAAAAATTTCACCACTAGTAGGTTTTCGTTTTTTGACTTTTTTCGGCGAACAGAGCCTCTCTAACGTGTTTTCTCACAGGGATAGGTATAAAACTGACCGAAACCAGCCAAAATCGATCGAAAATAGACAGGCCGAGGTAAACCACCGTTACGGGCGGTGGTGCCGTCGCCGGAGCACAGTAGTCTTGCCATCGGCGGAGCACGGTGGTGTTGCCATCCCGAAATCCCAAAATTAGTCGGATAAGAGTTTTAACACTGATTTTGATTTTTTTTGTTGGTATTTTTAAGTACGTAAAGCGTGTTTCAATCTCCGCAGGAAAATTTAGAAAATCTAGGGACCGCCAGTAAGCGCAATAGAAGTTTGGTATTTCGTACACCGATTCGGGTAAGAATCCATCACCTTATTCTCTGTATTATAAATAATACAGTATTTTGTGTAATTTTAAAAATTTTGAGAATTAATTACGTATTACTAATGGAGTTGAAACCAGTTATTTATTACTGTTTGTACTGTTTTAACTGATTGTTTGATTTTACAGTTTTAAATGTATGATAATACACTGGAATTGGTAAGATGATTTAGTTGTGTTTCCTTGACACATGTATTACTTGTCTTGCGTGATTTACAGTTAAATTGTGAAACTGAAAATTAAATGTAAACACAAAATTGCTTGATTAAGTGAATTATGAAACAGTTGTCTTACTGGATCTCTTGAGAGATGGTGGACGGACTACATACATAGGGAACCCTACCGTTAATGTTGCTTTATACCGGATGGAGTATCGAAGAATGATATTTTTATCGTTCATACCGGACGAGGTATGAGAATGACCTGATTCACTCTCATACCAGACGGGGTATTGAGAGATAGTACTTTTGGCACTCATATTGGACAAAGTATGGGACGGCCAGTTAGTTGATAAGTTTTGATACGAATTCACACGTAGTGGGACATTCCTATGAACCCTAGGGATACCAGTAAGTAAAAAAAAAATAGAAAATTGTTGTTCTTGCTACTTAAATATGAGATTATGATGTTATTTGTGTTATTGTCTCTATAGGGCGGTTTTGGAAATCTTGCTACGGTAAGTATGTAATAAATAGTTTTATTTATGATAAATGAATTTACTTAATTTAAGAGCTCAATTGGTTGTTTTATAATTTTTACCAAAATTCATTTCTGTATCGGTGAATAGTATGATATTCTTACTAGGTTAGTGTAGTTCACCTTTTCATTAATAATTTCAGATCAAGAGGACCAAAATCCAAATTCCGATCAATAAGAAGGTTGTGAATAGTTCACTACCCGGAGTGACGATCGTTCTAAGATAGCTAATTATTTACTTATTTTTTTAGAAGAGTTATTCTCATAATCCTATTGAGTATTTTAAATTATTGTGTAAGGAATGTAAACGCTAACTCTATTATTTCGTTTTCGCATTCAATTTATAATTTATTTTCTTTTAGGTTCCGGACCGTTACAGATTTAAACTTTTATATGAAACTTAACAATTAAATATTGTTGAATGTGAATAAGAGACGTACAAAATTTTTTGAATTGGAAATTCAAAAAGGCATTGTTGTAACGCTGCCCCTTTGTTTTTCTTTTATAAAACTCATTATTGACTTGATTAACTCATATAGTTTAGCTAAAATGAGAAGCTTATTTTATATTATTTTGAACTTCATATTTGTTTTAGTAGAAGGTTATCATGGGAAGATCCATCTTAAAGGTAATTACAATATTTTGTGTAAATGGAGGAAAAAAAATAAAGTTGATCTTTGGAGCCACCAAAACTTACATTATGCAGCTTATTATGGTATTTGAAAAGAATAATCTTCTACTATGAACAAGAAACTGGTATATAAGTAATCAATATAAATTATTTACAAGTTTTCATAGAGATAATTTACCTTTCAATTCAAAATTTTGTATATAATTTAAGATATACTACATTCAAGATTTTACTTCGAAATGTTATGGACAAGAATAAAAATATATCCCCTTGTCCATTCCATCTTTTTCTATGATATTTTATATTATATGGTCGATATTTTTGTCTCATAACTTAGTTATATGTAATAATAACTCCTAAGAAAAAGAAAGATGTTAAATTAAATTTTCTTGTTATTTGAAAAAATAAATAAATAAAGAGTATGTCTTCTAGAAAGATTGTGCTTATATCATCAAAAATTGAATTATATGAGGAGATATTTTCTTAATATCTTATTATTGAAGATCAGATATTACTTCTCATAAATGTGAAGAAAATCAGATTTGTAGGATCTTATTATTTAAGGAGATCGGATTTGCAAAGTGTATTCCAGATTTCTTTCTTTTTGTTCTTTTCTTCTTTTTCTTGCATATAAGAAGAAAGAAAATTTCTATGTAAATTAACTTTTGATACTATAAATGCTATATGGTCAAGAAAAATAGCAAGTGCTTGTGAGAAATTGGTATACGTTTATAATATATTATTCTTTTATAACTTATTTGTTTTTTAAAAAGGCCAAAAACAATAAATATTAGCCTATATAATAAGTAATTAATCTAAAAAAAATTATTATGAAGAAAATATTAATATTATAATATGTTACGTACATATATGTTTGATATTTTTTTTACAATTTTTTATATATAAGATCTAGTAATCTATTTTACAAATCAAAATTTATCAGTTTATAAGAGTTGTCACAATTTCATAACGTTTTCCTTCTTCAAAAAAACAAAAAGAAAAAAGAAGAAAGAAACAACATTTGAGCAACCGACAATGATGAAAGATGACAATTTTACCAGAATCTTAAGTGATATATCAATGAGTCGAAGGGCAAGTTTTTCACGATCTTCAAGCAAAAGGAGTTGGGCATCAGCAAGTATAATGGAAACGTTGGATATCTCAGAAAATGTTTTTCAGAGAGGCAATAGGGAGGAAGACGATGAGAAGGAGCTAAAATGGGCAGCATTAGAACGACTTCCAACATATGATCGTATGAGGAAGGCGAGGCTGAAACATGTTTTGGATAATGATAAGATCGAATATAAAGATGTTGATATTGTTAATCTTGGAATAGAAGAGAAGCGACATATTGTGAAGAGTTTATTCAATATCATTGAAGACGACAACGAGAAGCTACTTCTAAAAATCAGAGAACGATCCAATAGGTTTTAATCTCTCACTCTCTCTCTCTTTCTCTGTTTTGCATTAATATTTAAATCTAATATAGATGAAAAGAGATCAGAAGTTTATTCTTTGAAATAATCTAATTTAAGATAAAATTTAAATTTAATTTAATCGTTAATAAATTATAATCGTAGATTTTTTAAATAAAAAAATTAGAATAGTAGCTATAGAAGGAGTATAAGAAATTGAATCCAAGTAATTTAATGTAGAAGATAGTGAAAGATATACACTAATACTATGTGCATCCACTAATATCCAAATGTATTTTAATTAAGATTATAAGTTAGATAAAAATAATTAATTTTAAAACTATTTTTAATTAGTTTTTAAAAATATATTTGATATATTTTAAATTATTTAACGTACAAAAGTTAAAAAAATAAAAAATAAAAATGAAGAGGGCCGCTAGAAACTTTTAAAATATTATAATATAGTTTTGATTAATACTTAAAAAATACATATTAACTTATAAGTACATGATAAGTAGTTAATATATACGAGATTTTCCCTATAATTTTAATAACTATTTCAGTTGTAAAACTAATTAATTAATAAAATCTGTGAGTTCAAAAATTTTATTATGATCTAAATTTTCTTTATATAAATTTATCTAAAAATGTGAAGAAATCACAAGTTTTGATTCATATAATTCCTTGTAAGAAAATGAAGAAATAAAAGTTTAAAAAAAAAGTAAGAATTTAATAAAAGTAATTTTTTTTTTGTTATGATTTCCACTACTTTTCTTTTTTCACTTTTTTTCAAAAACTTGATACCTTTATTTTGATTTATTCAGTTGCTTCATTTATTTCAATTGTTGAAGGAAACAACTACTGTAATAAACATAGAATGAGTGAACTATAAAATTTAAGAATAGAAAATTGGGTTCTTAATTGATTCATAGATAAATTTTAATCACTATGTTGTCTCAATACTTTTTCTTTATATTCATATAGAAGTAGGAAAAAGTATATTTCGTAGTATAAATATTAACTTAATAAATTTGTGTGTGTGTGTGTGTGTGTGTGTGTGTGCAAAGAACTCTTCCCTGAACTAAAAACCTCTCCTTTACTAACAATGATCATTATAGGGTGGGAATTGAGGTTCCCAAGATTGAAATTCGCTTTAAAGATTTATCAATGGAGGGAGATGCGTATATTGGAACCAGAGCACTTCCAACTCTGCTGAATTCTTCCTTGAATATAATAGAAGTAAATGTGCTATTTTTTCTGATCTTATTTGTGTAATAATTTTCAATGGGCATTGATGCTTTTACTTGAAGCTATTTCTATTTGCTTGGGTTTTAACTTTATTATGATGAACAGGATGTTCTTCTCTTCTTCAGGCTTTTACCATCAAGGAAAAGAGTAGTCAACATACTCAAGAATGTGAGTGGTGTTGTGAACCCTTCAAGGTATGAGGCTTGTCTAATCATTCTGTTAATAGCTTTTAGCTTCTAACTTTTTCAAATGAAGTTTGTTAATGGGTCTTCCCCTTTTTCTCAGAATGACACTGCTTTTAGGACCTCCAGGATCAGGGAAAACTATATTGCTGCAAGCATTAGCGGGAAAGTTTGACAGGGGTTTAAGAGTTATTATTCCCTTCATGTCTTTTATATCATTTTTTGTGTTTTACCAAGTATTTTATAGTTTGTCAACATCAAGAAGAAGTTGAAGTTGATTAATTATGTGGGAATTTTAAAATGACACATCCATTTTACTAACCCTTCTAAAACTCAGGGACTTACCTATGGATCAGTTATAATTTTCTTGGATTTTTTAGATTTTGTAAGAATGGTTGATTCTAAAATCGTGTTCTTGGTTGTAAATTTGACAGTTAGTAACGGGGAATATACAATATTGTGGTCATGACATGGATGAGTTCATTCCCCAAAGAACGTGTGCTTATATTAGCCAGCATGACCTCCACTATGCAGAGATGACTGTCCGAGAAATATTGGACTTTTCAGGATGTTGTTTGGGAGTTGGAGCTAGATATGAACTGTTAGCACAGTTGATAAGAGAAGAAAAAAAAGCTGGAATAAAGCCTGATCCTGAGTTGATGCATTCATGAAAGCTACTGCAATTTCCGGCCAAAAGACAAGTTTGATTACAGATTACGTGCTCAAGGTGTATTGTTTATCTTTTTGATTGCTATGAAGCCTATTTATTTAAGTATTAAGTTTCCTGAGCTTCCCTCATTGAGACCTTATATTTGCAGATGCTTGGATTGGATATATGTGCTGATATTATGGTGGGAAATGAGATGAGAAGGGGCATATCGGGTGGACAAAAGAAACGAGTCACCACAGGTACAAAGTAGAGCCCCGACTGAGGATTTGGGATATAGATGTTAGCTCGTTTGCATAGTTATTTTATTGAGCCTGTCCTTTTTAGTGCTACTTTGGCAATGCGAGAACAATTTGAACTGAATTGTTTACATAAAATAATGTAGGAGAAATGCTGGTTGGACCAGCTAAAGCCCTTTTCATGGATGAAATATCGACGGGTTTGGATAGTTCCACCACCTTCCAGATTGTAAGGTTTATGAGGCAGATGGTTCATATCATGGACGTCACCATGATAATCTCTCTTTTGCAGCCTGCACCAGAAACCTATGATCTTTTTGATGACATTATTTTGCTTTCTGAAGGTCAGATAGTATATCAAGGTCCACGTGAAAATGTGCTTGAATTCTTTGAAAGTGTAGGATTCAAATGTCCTGAAAGGAAAGGAATTGCAGATTTTCTGCAAGAGGTGACTTCCAAGAAAGACCAACAACAATACTGGAGCAGAAATGATGAACCCTACAGATATATTTCTGTACCAGAGTTTGTGAATCATTTTTGTTCTTCTGATATTGGCCGGAAGCTTTTTGAAGATCTTAAAGTTCCATATGAGAGATCGAAGACTCACCCTGCTGCATTGGTAAAAGAAAAATATGGGATTCCTAACTGGGAGCTCTTTAAGACATGCTTCGCAAGAGAATGGCTGTTGATGAAGCGCAAAAGTTTTGTGTACATATTCAAGATAAGCCAGATAACCATAATATCACTGATTACCATGACAGTGTTTCTACGAACAGAAATGAAGACAGGTCATATACAAGATGGTGCAAAATTTTATGGTGCACTGTTCTTTGGTCTTAATAATATCATGTTCAGTGGATTGGTTGAGCTTGCAGTGACTGCATTCAGGCTTCCTGTGTTTTATAAGCAGAGAGATTTCTTTTTCTATCCACCATGGGCCTTTGCTTTGCCATTTTGGCTACTAAAGATTCCTCTCTCCTTAATTGAGTCAGCAATATGGATTATCCTAACATATTACACTATAGGGTTTGCTCCTGCTGCTAGTAGGTAAGGTTGTACATGCCTACTTTCTTTTGAAAAAAGGTAAATGTGCTCTAAGAATATGTTATTATGAACTAACATGTGCGCAAAATGCTTTAGGTTCTTTCGTCAGCTATTAGCATTATTTGCCACACATCATATGGCTCTATCTCTTTTTCGCTTTACTGCTTCAATTGGGAGAACACTAATTATAACCAACTCACTTGGTAGTATCATACTGTTGCTACTATTTGTCCTTGGCGGGTTCATTGTTGCAAGAGGTTATACTTCTTTACATCATAAATTATCCTTGGTGGACTCGTTGGAAGAAACTATAACCGTTCGCAAATTTTTTTTTATTTATAAATGTTCCGCATAAAAGAAAATGTATTAAGAATCCTATCTTTTTCTGGCAGATGATATTGCACCATGGATGATATGGGGCTATTATGTTTCCCCAATGTCTTATGGACAAAATGCTCTTGCCATCAATGAATTTCTCGATGAAAGATGGAGTGCGGTGAGATCTAAGATTCTCCAAAAACACAAGTTAATTCACAATTCTACACTGTCTTTCTTTCATAATTATCATAATGATTGTTGTGTCATTTCTTTGATGTAGCCTAATCCTACTCCAAACATTGCTGAACCCACAGTTGGAAAAGCTCTTCTTAGATCAAGGGGCTTGTACACAGAAGAATATTGGTATTGGATTTGTGTGGCGGCACTTCTGGGCTTTTCCCTACTATTCAATCTGGGTTTTATAGCAACACTGACATATTTAAATCGTAAGCTTTTGTTTCTGAACAGATTTCTATTTCAACCTTGAAGTAAAATTTGAGTTTTGATGACTTAGAAAACAATGCAGCTCTTGGAGATCGTAAGTCTATTATACTTGATAATGATAATGATCAGAAACACCCATCTTCAAATGGGCAAGGCAATGGTAGGACAACAAAGACCAGTTTGGGATCTGGATCTATGCTATCTGAAGGTTTGTCATGTCTCTGACTGATCTTGCAAGGGAAATAGATGAAAGAAAAATTATGCAATTTGACTTCATAAAAAAGTTGTGGGGAATGTGTATGTTCCAATGGAATTCCTTGAAAATAGAAAGCTGGGCATTTTTCCTCTGTGGATTTAGTTAAGGATTGGGTTAGTCTAAAATCTTAAATTGACCATATTGATTGCTTGACGGATATCCTACTTTGATGACTTATATTTTGTAGCTAAGAGCTCATTAAATAGAATATTTGGATAGCTAACACTATGTTTGGATTGAAGCAAGTGGAAACGAAAAGAAATGGTGTGATGTTCACCATTCTTTTACTTGTTTAGGTTAAAAAGTAGTAATTAAGGAAAGATAAGGATGGTGAGCATCTCTCTATTTCCCATCCATCTTAGCATTATTATTTCTCAAGAAACCAAATTAGTATTTTTCGGTCCATTGATGCTATGCTAGTATACAAATCCTACCAACTTATCCTTTCTGGCCTCTCTAAAAGTTTTGACATCTGTGTACATTTATGATTGAGTGCCAATAATATGTGATTAACTACAGCAGTTTCTATAGCAGGGAGGAATATTTCTAATAGCTTGACTCCAAGTGATGCGGAGCCAGCATCCATGAAACAAGGAATGCTGTTGCCTTTTCAACCCTTATTACTTGCATTTCATCATGTGAATTACTATGTTGATATGCCTGATGTAAGTCCTCTCAAATATTTCATCTTTTACATCATGCATATAAGTTCATTGTTTAGATGCACTTGAAATCTTTAACTTTTGAAAAAGGGGTTTGTCCAATTCAGGAAATGAAGAATCAAAGAGTTGAAGAGAATCGCCTTCAACTGTTACGAAATGTCAGTGGTTCATTTAGGCCTGGTGTTTTAACAGCATTAGTTGGTGTAAGTGGTGCTGGAAAGACTACTTTAATGGATGTACTTGCAGGAAGGAAAACTGGAGGATACATTGAAGGGGAAATCAGTATTTCTGGTTACCCAAAGAATCAAGAAACCTTTGCTAGAATTAGTGGTTACTGTGAACAGAATGATATTCATTCTCCACGTGTAACAGTTTATGAATCTCTTGTTTATTCAGCTTGGTTACGTCTTGCAAAGGATATTACAGCAGAAACACGAAAGGCATGGTCTTTAATACTTGAATTTGTAATCTTTATACAACATTTTATCATAAACTTTGCAATTAATGTTTAGATAGTTTTTATCACAGATGTTTGTGGAGCAAGTAATGGAGTTAGTTGAGTTAAACCCGTTAAGAAACTGTCTAGTTGGTCTTCCAGGAGTTGATGGCTTGTCGACTGAGCAACGAAAAAGACTGACAATAGCTGTAGAATTGGTGGCAAATCCATCTATTATCTTCATGGATGAGCCAACCTCTGGTCTTGATGCTAGAGCTGCTGCAATTGTAATGCGTACTGTGAGAAAAATAGTGGATACAGGTCGAACAATTGTCTGCACTATTCATCAGCCAAGTATAGATATATTTGAAGCCTTCGACGAGGTATAATTAAATAAGTTCCTTTTTTCATTATCCAAAAGTTGCCTTTTTGCTGCCTTAATTGTCATAAGTTTGTCTTCTTAATTGTTTTCTTAACTTGAATTGATTTTATTATAGTTGTTGCTGATGAAGAGAGGAGGACAAGTCATTTATGCTGGACCCTTAGGACACTATTCTCAAAAGCTTAAAGAATACTTTGAAGTGAGTACTAGTTACTTCGAAGTTGTTTCTTCTTTATGAACTACTTTTTATTTTAAAATAAAAATATTTTTTCACTTCATTTCATTTTTTTAGAATTCAAGGTTGTGTTCATAGAGGAAGAAATATCGATATTTATTTTCTCATTTTAAGGATTCTCTTCTCTTATTGACAAAATACAGGCTATCCCAGGAGTTCCAAAGATCAAAGAAGGTTACAATCCTGCAACTTGGGTGTTAGAAATCAGTTCAGCTGCTTTTGAGGCTCAAATTAATGTAGATTATGCTGAAATTTACACTAAATCTATACTTTACCAGTAAGTAAAAGTTAGTAACTCATATATTAGTGATTCATGTTTCATCACTTTTCGATCTCCTGTGACAGGACTCTTATCTAATATAATTTAAGCTATGCTTATTTCATGTTTCTTAATTGTTACCAGAAAAAATCAGGAGCTTATTAAAGAGCTAAGTAGTCCAGTAGTAGGATCTGAGGATCTTCATTTCCCTACCAAATACTCTCAAGATTTTGTAACTCAATATAAAGCTTGCTTGTGGAAACAGTATTGGTCATACTGGAGGCACCCGCAATACAATCTCACCAGATTCTTCATGACAACTATTTCTGGTGTTCTATTTGGACTTATTTTCTGGAACAAAGGAGAAAAAACGTAAGTGAAAACTGTTATGTAATAAATTTTTTTTATATCAGTGATAAGTTTCATGTTAAGATAACTGTACTATTTTGTGTAAACAGAGGAAAGCAACAAGACTTGGCAAATCTGATGGGAGCTATGTATTCTTCTGTACTCTTCCTTGGAGGAACCAGTGCTTCTGCTGCTCGGCCTGTTGTGGGAACTGAAAGAACAATCTTCTATCGTGAACGAGCAGCAGGGATGTATTCGCCACTACCTTATGCATTTGCTCTGGTAAAATTAGAACCTGAAACTTAATTTCTTCACTTGAAAGTTGATTAATGATAGGACAGAATTATACTATTAAGAATATCTATGTATAGATAACCAATTTTATTAATTTCTTGCAGGTTACGATAGAGACAATCTACATATTGACTCAGACTTCTTTGTATAGTCTATTGCTTTATTCAATGATTGGATTCGATTGGGAAATTAAGAAGTTCCTGTGGTTCTATTTCTTCATGTCTATGTGCTTTATGTACTACACATTCCATGGCATGATGGTTGTTGCCCTCACTCCAAACGAACAAATTGCTTCAGTTGTTTCCTCCTTCTTCCTAACCCTCTGGAACCTCTTCTCTGGCTTCCTCATCCCCGTCACGGTATACGATTCATTACACTACTTTGTTTAACATGGATACTGTGTCTTTGGTGCAAACATCTATATATATATATATATATATATATATAGACACTAAGTAAAATTTTGGATCATGTTTGCAGCAAATACCAATATGGTGGAGATGGTTCTATTGGGCATCTCCAGTGGCTTGGACAATAAATGGCCTTGTAACATCCCAATTTGGTGGAAAAGTTGATTATGTTGTTGTACCTGGAGATGGTTCCATTCCAATGAAAGCTTACTTGAAGAAGTACTTGGGATTTGAACATGGCTTCCTTGGACCTATCGCTGCAGCTCATGTTGGAATTGTTGTACTCTTCATCTTCCTTTTTGCCTTTGGTATCAAGTTCCTTAACTTCCAGAAAAGATGAGACTCCTTACATTGACTTGCATATATCATATATATATATATATGTCATGATATGGGGTTTTGTATATGCAATATTAAAAAGATAGCAACACAACTAGTCAGTTGAAAGCTAATTGAATTAGCCATATAAGTACCTGTCAGTGAAATAATAATCACATTGTCTTTGATGATCAATCAATCTTGGCTATACTATTTGATTCTAAAAGAACCAAATACTCATGACATATCTCTATCCTGGTAAGAAGTCTTCCTCTATGTTATTTGCTTAAAAATCTCTCTGCAATTTTGAAATGCTTTGTGCAAGTTGGTCCGTCTCCTAAACTCACCAGGTAGATTTAGATTATCACTCTCTTATTTATTATTGCCTAACATATGGACTAACCATGTTCATTCTTTGAATTATTTGGACACCAGCTTGTTTATCAAAATCCTTCTTAAATCCATGTATGAACCTATTAATGTAAATGCCACTGTTAATTGGATAATGCTAATTACCCATCTTCAGAATTCAGTTTTGGGAATTTCTTAATTCGTGCAAATTCAAACGGAGAAAAAAAAAGAAAGTCCTTTATCAAGAATCACACTACTAATAGGTACTTTAAATAGTACCGAAATTTCGAAGATATATTTAACGCCATCAAAATCCTCAATAAAATATTATACGCACTTTTCATTCCAATCAATAGCTCTCACTTGGGCTTCTCTCTCTCTCTCTCTGCAAGTTCTGCATTTTCTCTTGTATTTCTTGGTTTATAGTATCAATTGGTATTAGATTTCATCTTGGGCTAATGTATCTGCCTTTAAAAATATTAAGGCTCAAGATGAAGAAAAGAGCAAAGATAAAGAAAAGATGGAAGATGTGGTTAAGTAAGAAACAATCATATTTAGATGTCATGATGAAGACAAAAAACCATTAAATGGAACAAAATAATTAAAATAAAGGAATTTGGTGCGTGAATTTTCAATTAACAACTTTGTGTATAAATACACCTTACAGGATAGATTTCATATGATTAAATGAGAATTAAAGGGAGTTAAGAAGTTTGTTATAAAGGAATTCTTAAAGAAGATTTATACACAAGTAGTCAGTAATCACGCGCTACCTGTTCCATGCAACAGTTAAAGATCGGATTTGCAGAGAAGTAATTATCCAATTTACAATTTAGTTCCGAGACAGCAACAGCCACAACCAGCTTGAAGATTGTTTCCAGAAAGAATCAACTGATCTGCAACTAGCAATGAAATAAGACATAACTGCACACACCTCAGTTGACATCAGTTGCACACACCTACAGGCAACAAAGTTACCGTGCCAAAAATCAAGCAGGCCAAATCGTATCAGAGATTATGATATTAGATTCAAGATTCTCTTTCATAGGATCCCATATCAGAAGGCACAACAAGAAGCCAACAATGCTCAGATTACATACAGAAGCGGGGGAAAAAAAAAACAAGTGTCACTTGCATCAGCTTACATGATTTAGAACCAAGCTACAGAACATTAAGAGAGTTGAGTTAAAGTTTTTTAACAGGAGCCGATCTGTTTGAATTTGGATCTATAACCACAGGTTGGCATGTCTTCAAACTCCTATCTGTCATCTGTTTTAACTGGAGCGTTTGCGAGCTCCTGAATCTCCTTCTTGCTTTTTATAAAACTGCATTTCTTGGTATTAAAATCAACTCTATCCAAGTCCTCTGCAATCCCCATATAGCCATATAAAAGACACTCCAACTTCTCTCCTGGTTTTTTTGTGTCTACATTAAAGTTGACTTTGGATTTGTTGGAAGTTATTTGATTGAAATCCAGTCTCCCATGCTTTCTCTCCATGAAATATTTGTGAAGCCTCTCTGCATTTGCGAGTCCAGTAAAAGTTCTCATGAACTTCACCACCATAATACTTTGGTCAGAAGGTCTCCCTAAAATGACGTTACCCCCAAGAAAACCTTTACCTGTGATTGCTCTCAAAAAGTTAAAGGACAGAAAAAAAGAGCAGTTGCTTACATGGACAACAAAAACATTTGTGTGACCTCCTAGTCAATTAATATAGTAATTGAAAATTCTTGCAAAGTTAAGGAGCATATCTGAACCATCTTGAATCCTTCACACATATTAAACTGCTCCATATTACCAAATAGATTTAGCATACTAAGTTATTATTTCATCATGAATTAACTAGCAGAAAGAATGCATATTTATCAACATGACCTGCAATATTTATAGTGAGTTTTAATCTTAAAGCAAATTGCATTAAGTTGTAAAAGATTAATCACTCACCTTTGAGAAATGCCTCAATACCCTCAATGGGGATCACATTCTGCTCATTTGGAATGTTTTTTAACATTGAAATGTTGTGAATAACAATGACAGGAGGCCAAAGAATCAAATCCTCCTTCTCAGCTAAGGCTTCTGCATCAGACAAGACTTGCGGTACCCAAGTTATTGTGTCATGAGGTACAACACAATTCCACCCCAATAAAACACATATAGCTTTGTGTAGACCCAGGTGCAGAGCCCTCAACCCACCTCTCTGGGACATAAAAGCATGGATCACCAAGCGTTGTGTGTCCATGAACTCCTTTGAGGCGCTACAAGAGCACATATACAAAAAAAAAATATCATATGGACCACAACAAAGGCAAGACGCAAATGATAATAGTAAGTACTAGTTCTATACAACTAAACAACTAAAGAAACAATGGTACCCCAATCTCCTTAAAGAACATCATCTTTGTCTTCAGATACATATCCCTAAAATCTAAATAAAAAATTCATAGCATACAGATAAAATTAACAAGCACCCGTCTCCATTGTCAAAACTCACATAGAGAAGAAAGAATGTAGTCCTAAAGAATGTAAAAAAATAATATATATTTTCCAGAAGAAGAAAATGATAATGAAAAGATAAGGTAACCTTGAACCATGTTTAGCAGAATGAACTTACACACAAAAACTTCCATTGAAGTTGAAAAAGTCCTGGGCGGCCTAAGAGCACCTAAGACCCCAAGTTTTCTGAATATTTAACCCAACCAAAATAAGGACCTAACTTGCAATACCTAAGAGAAATCATCAAGGTGAAGCACCATTTTTTCCTATTTGAGATGCAAATGACTAGCATATGCCGCTAATACCACTATTTATCATAAAAAGAAAGTAGCGATAGAGAGGAAGGAAACCATCACACAAACAGTTGAACATGCCTGAAAGTTCGAAAGCAACTAGCAAAAGGTAGACTTCCACCTCATGTGGAATCCAAAAATATTGTAAACATTATTCCAGAATAATGTTTTCAAAAGAATCCAAATCTTGTCCCTAACATGAACTGGTCTCATTCTTATCATGTATCATTCACTATATCCTAGCCTACAGACACCGCAATCTAGCCAACTGGTCCTGACAAAAAAACAACGCAGGTGCTGCCTTCTTCAATTACTGCCTCTCCATATACACTATTGGCAGCAGGAACTCGACCTATAATACTTTATATCCATCAGAAACATCTTCAAGATGCATATACGAACAGATATTATAGTGCAGTCCACATATAGTTACCAAAAATCTTCAAACCATAATTAGGGCCATAAACCCCTTGTCCCACTTCTAGTAAGAAGTTGATGATTACACATGAAAGAAGCACAAACAGAAGTCATCAATTACCATTAAGGTTTCTTTCTCTAATTGCAAATGTTACTACCACTCTCCCAAATTTATCTGGTTACCTCAAACTGGATTGTCACCGACAACATTTGCTATCTAATAAACCAGCAATAACAGCTACCAACAGATCAATATCTCATTTCTTCACTTCAACTCAATAAATCTCGTTGGTTTCCCGAAACCGAACTCCAGAAAACCTTTACAACAAATATTGATTCTATCACCATGCACAGAGTACTCCATCATTAGTAAATGAGGCGCAGCTATCATATAAGCGATTTGTCATCAACCAGCATTATAAGATAAGATTCAACTTTCTCTTGTAAACTCACACTTCCCTAAAAAATTTGTGCAACTTTGTTCAGGCTAACCAACTGTAATTTCCAGGGGCTAAACATCAATTGTAGAAAACTGAATCATAAGAGAAAATATTAATCCCAGTACTGCAAATAAAATAAAAAAACACTAAGAAACCATGACTCTGAAGAAAGTTTTTTCTTTGCCTTCTCATGTTGGCAGAACACGTGGAAGTACAAACCTTCCTTTTAGGATTCATATGCCAGAAAAGAAAAACAAACCTTCGGCCACACACGATGCAAAACAGACTTCCAGCTTTCCCTTGCTCCTTGTATCTTCTTCGAACAGCTGCATTCACATTCAACTTTTTTGTGTACTTTAAAAAGGCCTCATGTATCAGTTGCTTAAATTCTTCAGAGTCCTCATATGCATAGGATTCAGCAGGATCTGATGTGATGGCATCATTATCATGCACATCCTCATTATGATCATCATTTCTTTTCCAAACTTTGTTATATTTGTGAAGACCACTTCTTTTATCAGTATGGTGTGACTTATGCCACTTTAAAGAACCAGGCCTCTGATGACCCTTTATATATCTACCACTTCGTTTATAAAACCTTACTGATGGGCCTTGTGTAAATGACAAAGATTCTTGGTGAGACAACCAGTCATCCGATGCACAGTGTCCAGAAGGATCTTGCCAACTATAAGTCCTCCCTGATTTTCTGTATTCATTATGATCAACTCTCCTATTCTTTGGTTGATATAAGCTCATCATATCTGCATCAATCCACTCCTCCTCACTATCATATTGATCTTCATACTCTTCGGGTACATTCCATTTATTTGACATAATTGTTTCTGACTTATGTCTGCCTACGCTTTTCTCCATGTTGAACTTTCTTTTGTGTAATCTATCAGATGGCTCATATATTTCACGTTCTCTCTCCATTCTGTGCATCTTTGATCCAAATCCTCGCAGGTCTGGATCATTTTTAGAAGCAGGGGAACTCTGCAATCTCTCCTTGTGAAATTCTTGAGCTGCCACTCTATCAAAACCTAAATCTGATCTCAGATGTGATACATGACGCTCTTGTAGTGGATCCAAATGTGATATATCACTATCTTGTGATACTTTCCTTTCAAGCGCAACACGAGAGCGTCCGGAACCCAAATAATCCCCAGCATGCTTCAATGGATATGATCTGTTTAAGTCAAGGTAGTCTGGAACCATCTCCTTTTGTAAAGTAGGATGATCTGAACCATTATTCACTCTCACATTTCCACAAGAATCCTTATTGTTATGAAATCTGTCTACGACAGGATCTATAACACTTGATCTTGATAAATTTCTATAATCATAATTCACTGGTGCATGACTATAGTCCACTTGATTATGTGACGAAAGCATTCTTCGTGATCTACCAGATGGATACAAAAGTTTATCTTTCACTACATCCTGTTGTTCACCATAAAAGTATTCCTCATGCTCAACCCTAGACGGACTACATGCACCATGTTGGTAAAATGTCATACTCCTCCTAGCACCCTCAAAGTTTCTCACAGGATCTCGACGTGGCCCTTGGACATAAGTATTAAAACTTGTGGGTTCAGCAAGTTTGCCACTGTTCCTTGGATATTCCTCGGAAGCAGGTATGGATGTGCCATCCCCATAAGAAACCAGAACTTCACTTCTTGAAGGTCCTGATGAGGAGCCCACAGTATCCCTATACTGATAAATGCTCACAAAATCCTTGGAGTGAGATGCTTGGATAGCGCTGTATGGAACATCCCTCGACCTGCAAATGTGTTTATCTTCTTCTCTATAAGATTCCCTCATTGCTACCTTATCTAACTGCATAGTCTCCTTATAGCTAAGTTCTCCATGCTCAATGTGACCTAGGTCCATACTTTTTGGCAGTGATGGCACAGGTCCAGCTGTTTCCCTATAATTTTTTGGTGTAGGAACCAAATCTGGAGTCATGCGACGTAACCCTCTTATCATGCCACTTTCCATGCGAATTGAATTTCCACCAAACATCTCATGTTCTTTAATACTTGCAACTTCAGTTTCACTATAATCCTTCTCTTTATCAATTCTGGACAGGCCATGATCATGTCCATAATCATGTCTTGATGTAGAATTTGAGGCATCATTAAAATCCAGTGGCTCCATATGTTCATATTTCCTATGCACTGGACCCTCATCAAAGTAAGACCTCTTTCGCATTTGTTCATATGGGGGAGACCTAGCCATGTTTCTAATACTCCTGCCTCTCCCAAAGTGCAAATTGTATTCTCTCCCATCTGGTGAAGCATTTCTTCGATCAACGAGTAAACCCCTGCCAGATTCATCTAATTTATAGGGGCTGAAGCTCCTTCTCAAACTGGGAGATTTAACCCGTCCATCAATACGACGAGAAATTGGATAACGATCATGATCCATCTTGACTATGGGTTGCTTGCCCAACTTTACAGATGAAAAACCTCGTACATAATTTTCTTTCCTTCGAGATTGCATATTGACTAAGCTACTTACAAGAACCCCTTCTATATATAGAAAGCCCTACCTTTCAATTATATCCAGTATGTAACAACATGGATTCTAACTAGAGATTACAAGATTCGATAGATCGACACTGATAAGAATTCAATTAAACCGGAACCCTAGAAAATCCCAGTTCCCAGTACAGAATTCAAAATCATATCATCACCCCAAATAACACCCTAATTGATTGAAAAAGAATATCCATAACAAAAAAACCCTATAGGATTTTGATATCCATGAACTAGATGAAAGAGAGATCAAACCTTCATCTGGGTAAATAAAAATCACAGCCCACGATCGATTTCTATCTCTAGCACTCTGTTTATAGCCGTTTTATTCAGCAAATACGCTAGTCAAGTTCATCCAATTTGAGGGTTGCAGAAAAGAAAGGATAAAGATGCGGGATGGAGATTTGCGGGAAGTTGGGTGCAGGGTAAAATATAAGAAAAGAGGATGATCGACATGATTATTGGGTAATGCGTCGAATCCGACGGGAAGTAATTACGTGGTTGTAAAAATCGAACTTTTAACCTCAAGGAATAAAAAAGAAAGAAAATCAAACGTTTTAGATCTCATTCAGTTTTCGAAGATTAAATTTAATATTAAATTTTATAAAATATTTATTTACTTATGTAATTTATTTATCTATAAATAATATTTAAACCATTTTATTTTAAAATATTTTACTTTTATTATTTATAAATTACTATCAATTTTTAAATCTATTATTTCTAAATATTTTACTATTTAGTATAATAATGTGTGTTAAGGTTTCCATACATTACATGTTTTCTTCTATTTATTATAATTTCAAGAAATATTTAAGTATGATTTTCTAAATAATCGATATATTTGTGATTATATAAAATACAATTTTCATAAACTGTAATCAACTATAAATTTTTGGTGTTATTATGTGAATTTTTATGAAGTTTGATCTTAGTTAAATTTATTAATGAATTAAACTAGGAAGAAACTCATTATCATATGTTGCTTTTTCTAGCATCAATATTAAAATGAAGACACATTTTAGAAATGATGTTAGTTGACGAACAATAAAATGAGAATGAGCATTTGTTGACAATGTCTCATATAACATATTTTTAAATATAAATGATACTCATGATTGATACAGAGAAAGATCTACTACTTAAACAAGTCGAAAGAGTGTTGATGAAAAATAGAAAAAAAAAATTTGATCTGAAATATCAAAAAAATAATGAATTTCGTTCTATTTATATATGTTCTTCTATTATAATTTATTGTTTCTTACATTTTTCTACTGATAGAGTGACTTTATTAAAAATAGTATAACTATAAAAAAAAATAGCTTTAGTGTTTATCTTTTCTCTAAAATTTTTAGTTATATATGTTGTAATGAGAAAATTTATAGTTAAAATAAGATATATTGTATATTTATTATAAAATAATAAATTTATACATCTAATGAAGATCGGAGTACAAACTCTTAAGTTTTTATTTTATTTAGTTTGAGAGTGAAGTGAACTTTACTCACTTTCGAATAAAGTTGATGCTGAATAATATTTTTTTATTTGAAAGTAGACTCGTTTAATTTTAAAATAAAATTGTTTTTTTCAATTACTCGGAAAGCAACTATCAGAATTAGTGCAACCCGAAAACAAAGCCCGGAAGAAGCCTGGATCAAAGAAACAGAATCGAGATTCATCAATAAGACCCAATTCCATGAATCCTAAGAATCCAGTGTAACAGCCCGGAACTTGAAATGAAGTAAATTATAAAATTAAGTGCGGAAGCAAAATAATAACGTTAATATTTACATTCCTTACACAATAATTCAGATTACCCAATAGGACTATGGAAATAACTATTTTAAAAGAAATAACGAAAAATCAAAGAAATAACTGCAAAGTAAACAACTGAACATCCTATTCGCAACCCTCTTGTGGATCGGGTTCTAGGTCTTGGTCATCTTGATCTAAAATGATTAATGAAAGAGTAAGTTATACTAACTCAGTAAGAATGTCATACTACTCACCGACACAAAAATAAAGGTTGGTAGAAATCATAAAAACAACTAATAGAGCTCTTAATTTAAGTAAATTCGTTTATCATGAATAAAATCATTTACCGCATACTTAGCATAACAAGATTTTCAAAACCGACCTATAGAGGCAATAATATAAATAATATTATAATATCATATTTAATCAGTCGGAACAACAACTTTTTCTTTTATTAGCCTACTGGTATCCATGGGGGTCCATCCCTACTACGTCTGAACCTTTATTTAACATTTTCAACTAATGGACCGTCCCCATACCCCGTCTGGTATGAGCGCCAAAAGATACTATCCCTCAATATCATGTATGGTATGAGAGTGAAATGGGCCGTCCCCATATCCTATCCGGTATGAGCGCCAAAATACAAATTCTTGATACCTCGTCGGGTATGAGGCAACGTTCATGGTAGGGTTCCCTATGTACCCGGTCTGTCCACCATCTCCTAGGATATCCAGTAAGATTACCATTCATCCATTTACTAAATCAAACAATTTTCTGTTTACCTTTAATTTTTAATTTTTCAATTAATTGTAAATAACGTAAAACAAGCAATACATGCATTAAGGAAATACAATCGAATTATCATATAAATTCGAGTGTATTATCATGCATTCGAAACTGTAAAATTATCAATCAGTTAAACATTGCAAACAGTATAAATAATCGGGTTCTGCCTCCATTAGTAATTTTTATTATCATGTTTCTAAATTACACAAATACCATATTATTTGTATTAGACTTCA